GGGGGGGGGGGGGGGGGTTGACAGGGAGGCTCAGAAAAGGCGGCAGCTTGCCCCAGCTCCCTCAGGCTTCACGACCTCCACGGGGGCTGGCCCGCTGCGAGGCCCAAGGCTGTGTGTCTCTGCCTGAGGGCTTCTGCGGAGGCCAGAGGGGCGCCTCTGCCGGCTGGGGGTACCGGAGTGGCATGAGCTCCCAGGAGTTCCCTTCAGTGACCCACAGGAGTGAGTGTGTGAATCCCCTGGCTCCCTTGCCCCTCTAGTGGGACAACTCCTGTTCCCCACGGGCTCCTGCGTTCCCCAGCAGGATGGGGCTTAGGCTGCCGGCAGGGTGGCCGGCCTGGCAAGCGTGCCCCTTTCGCTGCCTTCCGCCCCCTGTGTCTCCTGCCCACTCCCAGCCCAGGTTTCTTCCACACCCTTGATGCAGGGTCGGCTCCCAGGGGAGCCCATGCTCGGACGGCGGCATGCCCAGCGCTGGGGGGCTGACCTGCAAGCAGCTGCTGCCTCTCGCGATCCCACTGGGCCCGGCGCTGCTCGGCCTCCTTGGCCTGCTGCTGCCGCGCCCCCTGCTCCTGCAGCAGGGCCTGCTCCAGCTCGCCCACCTGCATCCTCAGCCCGTCCTTCTGGCCCTCGGCCTCCTCCAGCTGGGCCCTCAGGGGCCCTACAAGCTTGCCGAGGCGTGCCAGGTCTTTGCTCTGCTCAGCCGCCCAGAGGCCCACAGTGGCGGCCGGCAGCGGCCTGTGCCCCATGCTGTCCCGCACCAGCTGCTGGAAGCGGCCCAGTGACGAGGGCAGGTTCTGGCTCTGACACAGGTTGATGAGCACCTTGCCCACCTCCCGCAGGCTGCCCTGGACGCTGGTGCACGCGTCACAGGGCACCAGGGCCGTCTCCACAGTCTGGGCGTGGACGCTTCTCGTGCTCACAGCCGTCCTGCCTGAACACTGCAGCGAGACGCTGATGGCGAGGCCGTCCCGCTCTGGGCGGGCCTGGGACAGACCTGACACTGGGGAGGGCGGCTTGATGAGCTGGGCGGTTACCAGTTCCGGGCTCCCAGCTGGCTCGCCCTTGGCTGTGGGCTCGGAGGTGAGGGTCTCTCCTTGGTTTGCCCTTTTCTGTGGTCGGGGAAAGAAAGGGGAAGCAGGTGAGGGAGCCAGGCCTGGGCGGTGACCGGCTCCCTGGGGATCTCTGTGACAGCAGCCTCGCCCAATGCTCAGATGGTATCTGGTAGCAGCGTGAATGGGAGCGCGCCTTCTCCTGTCTGCGGCCTCCGTTACCAAGCCCAGGTCAATGTGGGTACATGCCTGGCACTGGGAGGGTGACATAGTGACAGACACAGCTGCCGGGGGCTGGGCCCTCGCTGGGTGGATTCACCTGCTCGCTTGTCACTGAAGCCACTCTCGGTTTTGGTTTCCTTCCCATTACGGTGACAGTGGTCCTGCCCACAGGTGCTTGTGAGGGTTATGGGGTGACCCAAGACAAATGGGACTCATGTAAACCCCATCGGGGCTTCCCTGGGGGCTTGGATGGTAAAGAATCCACCTGCAATGTGGGAGATCCGGGTTCGATCCCTGGGTTGGGAAGATCCCCTGGAGAAGGGAATGGCTACCCACTCCAGTATTCTTGCCTGGAGAATTCCCATAGAGAGAGGAGCCTGGCGGGCTACAGTCTATGGGGTCGCAGAGAGTCGGACACGACTGAGCGACTAACACTTTCATAATCCCCATTACTCAATCACACCCTGGGAGGGAAGAACTGTCGTCACCCCCACTGCACAGATGAACAAACTGAGGTTCAGAGTGGGTAGGAGTTTTCCAAAGTCCCACAGTGTAAATTACAGAGCCGGGTGGCCCAAACATGACGCTCAAGGCTTGCGTCGCTAACTTCCAGGCTGCGTAGGAGCCAGCGACAGGCGCGGTGCTCGCGTGGTGGGCGAGGTGGCTGAAGGGGCTGGCGTGAGGGTGACCGCAGGTGGGGAAGGAGAGTGATGGACCCACCTGGAGGGCTGCCTGCTGGCTGAGCATGCCCAGCCTCAGCAGACTGTTCCAGAAGCGTCGTACCGTGAGCCCCACGGACATGCAGGGCCCTGTAGCCCGGGCTGGGGGCACTATCTGCTCCAAGGTTAGGGTCTCCAGGTAGCTCGCGCAGCTCTGAAGCAGCAGCAGGAGCCTGCAGGTAGAGACGGTAGGGTCGACTGGGGCAGAGCCTGGTGCCAACGCCCCGTGGCACCACACGACCAGTGGCCTCCGGCTCTGGAGAATGGCCTGGGCCTCAGGGGCTCGGAGCATCTCACAATATGCTCTGCCCAGCCCAAGAGCCACTTCCTCCAGGAAGCCCTCCCTGAAGGCCAAGCTTGGGGCCTCTTCAGGGCCTCCTGGGTGGCAGCACTTCTGCTTGGCTGCTCCCCACTGGACGGGGAGACTGGGAGGCTGGAGGTGCTGGCTGAGTGGCTGCCTTACGTCACGGGGCTCAGGGCCTTTACCTCACAGAGGACACAGCTGAGGCTCCCACAGTGGGGGAGGCCACACACGCCTCCGGGTGAGGGTGGAGGGCACTGTGCCCTGCAGTCTCCTGGTTCTAGTTGTGTGTGTGTGTGTTGGTGGGGGGGGGCGCTTCTCCTGTGTGATGAGCTGCTTCTGTGACAGCAGACACTGGAGGGAGAGAGGTCGGTCCCTCTCCTACCCTGACCAAGGGGCTAATTTTAAGGTAAAGGGGTGTTGGGGAGAGACGTAGGCATTTGCATGGGAACCTGGCTGTTTTAAAAGAAGAGGAACTGTGTTTACAAGACAGACCGGGCAGAAAAGTGACTTTCAGTTGTTGCAGGTACAAGAGGGCTGTCCAAACCCCCGGGGCCTTGGGCCAAGAGGGCCTGCGTGAGGGGGTGCTGAGTGCCTCCCCGGCCCTGCCCCTCTCTGGCAAAGGTGCCTCCTCTGTGAACTGTGTCAATGAATGAACAGCCTGGGGGTGGGGTGTGGTGGGAGGAGGGTGGCCTGGACAGAGCAGCCAGGCAAAGGCTGGGAAGACATCTCAGCACGAGCTTCCTAGAAGGCGATGGGTAGACTGGGCTGTGCCGGGCAGGTGGGGCTTGGCCGGCCCAGAAAGGAGTGGGCGGGGCCTTCCTGGGAGAGGGCGCAGCAAGGAAGGAAGGAGGGTGTGTTCTGGGCTCACACCCCCTCCCAGGGTCCGAGGAGTACTTTCACACCCACAGTTCCTCTAGGCCTCTGAGTGGTCACCCAGGGCCTCTTTGTCCCTGCCTGTCGGCCGTGACCTCATTAGCATGCAAGGTTTGGAGCATGTGGAGCCTGGGGCTTCGGTCCCCAGAGAGTGGAGGGTGATGACCCTGCTAACATGAATCACGCTGTAGAAGTGATAGCGCTGCAGGGGGGAGTCCAGTGACCTCTTCCCAGCAGGGCCAGGATGTGGACAAGCGCACCCCGTGTCTAGTCCCATGACACAGACAAGGAACACAGTAGAGCCTGCGATGGAGACTCTGAGCAGCAGACAAAGCGTACTCGACATGCAGAAACCCTAAGAGGCAGCTGGTGGCAGCTGGAGAAGCAGGTGTCAGAGCCTCGGTGCCACACAGACCGACGGGGTGGCCGGCAACCCCCTGAAGATGGACGGCAAGACACAGCACAGCACAGCACGAGGCGCTGACCTGGCCCTGGACAGCACGCACTCAAAGGTGACGGCTGTCACTGCCGGCGCCGGAGGGGGGTCACGTGGCTGCTGCTGGGGTTTGAGGGGCGGGGGCTGGCATCCTGCGGTGAGCGGGTTAGGGCGAGGCCCTCACCTGTCGATGACCAGCTCCAGCAGCACAGCATGGGCCAGCTGCGTGAACTCGGGGTCGCCTGGCACGTGGTCGTAGTGTTCCAGCAGGGCCACCATGTCCAGGTCACAGGCCACACGGTCGGGGAACTTCCAGGAGGGGAAGCGCACGGGCCCGGCGCGAGAGAACACGTCAACGATGGCACCCTGCAGGTCGGTGAGGTCCTTGCGCAGGCTGTCCATGCAGGCCGGGCTGCCCAGCAGGTGCGCCATCCTTGTGGCTCCTGCGGTGGGCAGAGAGGGCCCCCCATGAGCCAGAGCCGTGTGGCTGCTGCTGGAGGAAGCTTCCGGAAGCCCCAGAAAACCTGCTGAAATCCAACCTTGACGGTGGGGAGAAGTCTGTGGCCTGGCCCCTTCGGGACCTGCTTGTGGGTGACCTCACCAGCCTCCCTCTCGTCCACCCCACCCCATGCCCACACTGCCGAGGCCGTCGGTCCACAGCTCCTCTGAGGACCTGTGTGCCAGGCCCCCTGCTGAATGCTGGGTGCCTAACAGTTGTGTTCCCAGGCAAGAATACTGGAGTGGGTCGCCATCTCCTCCTCCAGGGGATCTCCCCAACCCAGAGATCGAGCCTGAGTCTCTTGTGTCTCCTGCACGTCAGGCAGATTCTTTACCTCTGAGCCACGGAGGAAGTCCATTTATTTTTATTTATTTACACAGCTGTGCAGGAGGATGTACCTGCCGGCCTCCCCTCCCTGCGCAAAACCCTGGACAGGCCGCTGACAACTAAGAGAGAGTTGTAGCTACAGCAGGACAGGGAGCGCTGGGCCATTGTCGTCTTCTGCTTGGGCCGCTGCTGCAGCAGCCAGCTGGGCCACGGGCCTACCCACTGGAATCCGATCCACTTCTGCTATGGAGATCTGGGCCAAGCCTATCTGACCACATTACACTGGCCAGCAGCCCCTCGGGACTCTCTCCGCCCCTGGGTACACTCCTCCCCTTGCTCTCTCTCCTCTCCCCTGTCCCCTCCACTTTGCACACCATCGGCTACAAGCAGCAGCTCCCGTGCAGGCACTCATTTCTGGACCCCTGCCCATCTGTTCCCTCTGAGTCACACCTCCCCCAACTGCAGTGTGACCTGGCCACCTGGGCGGGGACCCTAGGGCCTGCCTGTACCCACAGGGGCAGGGAGACCCAGAGGGCCAGCCAGCCTCCCAGAGGCCCAGCCCTGTCCTCACCTCCCTACGAGTGTCTGTCTGTGGAGCTGGACGTCTGAGTGTGCTTAGCTCTCGGACTTGCCTGCAGGCTCTGGGGCTCAAGGTCAGGTGCTCAGCCGGCTGCCTGGCTTCCCATGTCCAGCCCTTCGGTCCCTGGGAGCAGATTAAGGGAGAATGAGGGAGCGTGCGCTCTGGGCGGGCTTCCTGGGAGGAGGTCGCTGTGGAAGAAGCGGGCTGCCCCGGGCGGGAGGAACAGCGAGGAACACAGCAGGTGGGGCTGTTGGCCTTGAGCTTGGGGCGCTGCTGGCTCTGACCACGGGACCTGCTGGGTGCCACTCCCCAAACCCACCTCCTTTAAACAGATGAGGGAACTGAGGCGCTGGGAAGTTAGGGGGCTAGGCCAAGCTCACTCAGGGAGCTGGCATTCTGGCGTCCAATGTCTCTGCTCTGACTTCAGGCAGTGCTACTTCTAGAGCAGCACTGTCCTACAACGCGAGCCACACACAGGAATGAAAATTCTATACTCACCACATTTAAAAAAAAAAAGTAAAAAGAAAGAGGTAAATTAATTTTAATAACTATATTATTTAACTTTATATACCGAAAATATTTCTTCAATGTGAAATCAGTATAAAGATATTGTCTCAAAAATCCCATGTCTATGTGACATGCACAGCACATCACAATTTGGACCAGACACCATTTTCAAATACAGCACCACATGGGCTGGTGGCTACTGCACTGGGCAGAGTAGGGGGAGGGGGTCAGATCGTGTTCAGTAAGCAAAAAAAAAAAAAAAAAAAAATGGTGGCTGAGTACCTACTCTGTGCTGGGCAGTCTTTAAAGAATAGGGGCAGAGCAGGGCACGCAGCCCAGGCCACCAGGAAGCACCATCTGTGTCTGAGGATCTCTGCAGGGAGTAAGTCATGGGTGTGTCAGCACTGCAGTTCCACCCACAGCGGGGGTGATACAGGTGGAAATACACACAGGTCACAAATACACACAGGTCAACGTCCCACCGACGTATGTTGCCCCAGTGACGACGTCTCATGAGATATCACCTATGAGATGTTGTGTCCCCAAAGGATGGGGCAAAAACAAATGGAAAAACCGACTGAAACATTCCAGGTTTCCTTCCTGGAACTGCAACAAGGAAATAAATAAAGCAAGCAAGAAATCCCACCGTTGGAGGAGGGGTTCTCAAGAGGAAAAGCACCTGGGACTCAGGAACTTGCTTGTGTAGACACAAAGACACAATAACCTGTTTGCCCTCAAATAACTACACTGGCTCTCTGGGGCCAGGTGTTAAGATTATGGTTCTTTAAAAAAAATATTTATTTATTTTTGACTCTCTAGTTGTGGCATATGGGCTCAGGAGCTGTGGCGTGTGGGCTTAGTTAGCCCCTTGGTATGTGGAATCTTAGGCCCCCCCCCACCCCCCAGGGATTAAACCCGCAACCCTTGAACTGGAAGGTGGATTCTTAACCACTGGACCACCAGGGAAGGCCCCAGATCCTGATCCTGATGAGCAGCAGCAAATGCCAAAGCAGCAAGAACATACAAGAGGAAAACACAACACTGTAAAAACATCCGACGTTACATCATTTCTTCTGAACAGCAGGAATTTGCAGATACAAGACTGGTTTGAGAAGCACGTTGGGTGCGTGTCAAGTGAAGGAGCATTGGACACAAGCTTTCTCCGTCATTCCTGAGTCTTGAGTAGAACCCTCAGCCTGAAGCTTCCAACCCTGCCCCGCTTCTGAGGTCACACAAGTGATGGCACTAACCGAGCCACCACCACCCTGGGGTGGGAGCAGCTGGTAACCTTGCCTGTCCGTAGGTCCCTCAGTCCAAGGTGGATTTTAACCCACAGAAGAGTGAAGGAAGCTTTCCTTCGCTTCTGTTTAACATTCAAGTCCCTTCTTTACTTAAGCCCTGGGACTCTCCCCCTCAGGTAAAGATTACGCCTTTCTCCTCACCAGTGGGCCTTTCTCCTCTGCCTGCAATGAGGAGACCTGGGTTCAATCCCTGGGTCAGGAAGATCTCCTGGAGAAGGAAATGGCAACCCATTCCAGTACTCTTGCCTGGAAAATCCCATGGACAGAGGAGCCTGGTATGCTACAGTCCATGGGGTTGCAAAGAGTCAGACACGACTGAGTGATTTCACATATCCTGACCAGTGCACCCATGAAAATGCTTTGGAAACTCTAAACCCATCTATACAGCAGAGTCAGTCTCTGACTCAGGATTGCTAACTGCCTGGATACCCGGGGGGATACTGAAGGAATCCAGTGAAGACAAAGCAAGTAACTGCACTAGTAGAAGAGTAAGAAAGGCCTGGGTTTGGATTCCCACTCCACCATATAAATTGATGATCTGTAAATGAGTTGCTCTAGGAAATAAATGATGGAATGCATGTAGTGTTTGGCACATGGTCTGGCTCATGGTACATGTTCAATAAATCCTAACTATCGTTATAATTCAACGTTAATAGTAACACTAACGTCAATCAGCTACGGTGTGAGAAAGACACGGGAGGAGACTCGGGAGGGCATCTTTTCCTATCACTCCCCCCACCACATCCCCATTTCATAGGTGAAGAAACTGAAGTCCAGGCAAGGCTTCAGAGCCAGACACATTCTGGAGTTGGGAGGGAGGGGAGAGGGGAAAGGGAGAAGTTCCCAGGAGAAGAAGCGAAAAGAGGAGGATTGGGGTGTGCTAGGGGGCGGGGAAATGGTCCGCGGGGACCAACCTGCGGACGTGAGGGGTGGAGCCTAAAGAAGAACCCTAGACCTGAGTCGGTACACCCGGCTCGAGGGCGGGACTATGGAAGGCGGGGGTGGAACTGGAAAAGGCAGGACCGCGGGAAAAGGGACCAGTGGGAATTAGGGATTGAGACTTGGGAAGGGGTCTGGAGGACGTGGAGCTGAAGTAAAGAGGGGCCTGGGAGAACAGGCAGGCGGAGATTTGGCCAAAGTGGGAGGCCAATGGGAGAGAACCCGGGACTTAGAAGGCGGGGGTCGGAGGGAGAAGGGAAATGGCCTGGAAGAGTAAAGGAAAGGGGGATCCAGGCGTCGGGGCGGGAGATGGAAAAAGTCTCACCAGTCTCCGGCGTCGCAGCCTGAGCCCCTGTGTCTGGCGGATTCATGGAACTGCCCCCAGTCGCTCCTGCAGCTCCGGGGATCCAGTGCAAAATCTAACCCGGCTCCCCGACCGCTGCCACGGCAACGGCGTCTCGCTAGCGGGGAAGGGAGGGAAGTGACGTCACGGATAAGGGGCGGGTCCGGACATGCGTCAGCCTGGCCCCCTCAGCGACAACTCGGTCGGCCGCCGCCATCTTGAGAGCTTGTCGTACTGTTGGTGCGGGGAAGGCGCTTTGACGCCGCACCGCTCACCTACACCGAGGCGGACTGGCAGCCCTGAGCGTCGCAGTCATGCCGGCCGGACCCGTGCAGGCGGTGCCCCCGCCGCCGCCCGCGGCCACCGAGCCCAAACAGGTACGGCGAGGTCTGCACCTCCACGGCCGCTCGAGCAGGCCTGGGCCCTCCCCTCCGACGCGGGCGCTCCTGACTCGTGCAGGAAGGAGCTGCCGGTTAGGAGGACTTGGGGGCACTCCAAGTCCCAGGAGGCAGCGCGCTTCCCGCCTGCCTTCGGGTAGCGGATGAAGCCTTATTACAACCGTGGTTCTCAAACTGAGGTCCGCGGATCAGCGGCACCTGGGAGTTGATTAGAAATGCTAATTTCCCACCCCAGATCTTCTAAAATCAGAATCTGCGTTTTTAATAAGACCCCACGGTGATTTATTAACGTTTGAGAAGCGCTGTGCTTGCTCATCCTCTGGTCTTGTGTGGTTAATTGGGCCCACCGGCCCCAGCCTTTGCCCCGGAGTCCCTAATTACCCAGCCTGCACGGTCCATCTTTGAATGTTAACTCTCAGCGTTTGTTCTGTGCTTACTCTAACCCCGACCCCGTCCCAGGCTCCGGTGTTAGCCAAATGAGTGAAGCACAGTTGGTGCTTTATTTAGGGAGCTCACGGACTAGTGGGGAGGCAGATAAGAGAATACAAGATACAGTTTCAGACAGCCCTTAAAAAGATTTCAATCAGCTAAGGAGGAAAGACGGGCGTCAGTAATTGACGAGTGATAAACTACGGGTATTAGTTTTTTTAGACTTTAAACTTTTTATTTTGTATCGGAGTATAGCTGATTATCAGTGTTGTGGTAATTTCAGGTGAAAAGCAAAGGACTCAGCCATGCACATACACGTATCTGTTCTCCCCCAAACCCCAGTCCCATTCAGGCTACCACATAACTTTGAGTAGAGTTCCCTTGTGATATACAATAAGTCCTTATTGGTTATCCATTTGGAATATAGCACTGTACATATGACCTTCCCAAACTCCCTAACTATTCCTCCCCCCGGCAACCATAAATTTGTTTTCGAAGTCTGTTAGTCTCTTTTTGTTTTGTAAGTTCATTTGTATCATTTCATTTTAGATTCCACACATAAGGGAAGCCAGCGGTATTTCTCCTTGTCTGACTTATTTCACTCAGTATGACTCTCTGAGTCCATGCATGTTGCTGTAAATGGCATCATTTCATTCTTTTTAGTGGCTGAGTACTATCTCATCATGTTTACGTACCACATCTTCATCCGTTCGTCTGTCGCTGGATGTTTAGCTTGCTTCCATGTCTGGTGCTGTGCTTAGTTGGTCAGCTGTGTCTGACTCTTTGCAACCCCATGCACTGTGGTCTGCCATGCTTCTTTGTCCTTGGGGATTCTCCAGGCAGCACTGAAGTGGGTTGCCATGCCCTCCTCCAGGGGTCTTCCCAACCAATGGACCGAACGTAGGTCTTTTGCATCACAGGTGGATTCTTTACTGTCTGAGCCGCCAGGGAAGTCCAGGAATACTGGAGTGGGTAGCCTATCCCTTCTCCAGGGGATCTTTCCAACCCAGGAATCAAACTGGGGTCTCCTGCATTGCAGGCAGATTCCTTACCAGCGGAGCTCCCAGGGAAGCCCTTCCATGTCTTGGCTATTTTAAACAGTGGAGGCAGCAATTCTAATCAACATTGCTTTGATGGGCTAGAGGAGAGGTTAGGGTAGGCGAAGCCCATGGGAGTTTAAGCTAAGTTGTGTTTAGAAGGATGAATCAGTAGTTCACCAGGTAGGTGATGCAGCGGGCAAATGCCATTCTTTATTCATTCAGCGGATTTATTGAGCACGTCCTGTCTGTTGACCACTGCAAGCACCTCTGTGCCCTGGCGTTCTCCCAGTATTTGGGGAAAATAAGCCAGGCAAAGCCACCTAGGTGCAGAAATGCCAGGTCCGGAGCAGACAGCGCCTCTGGTCAAGTTCAGAGAAGGCTAAAGTGTGGAGTTGGGAAAGTGGCACTTAAGTGCTGTATTGCTGGGGATTTGAAATTTTCCTAGCAGGCTTTTGAGAGAAGAAGAACGGATGTAAGCTGGAGGCTGACGTGTTTGTGTTTCAGAAATGGAGGTAGACAGTGATGTGGAGAATTGCTTGGAGGAAAGATCGGTCATGTTATTTAAAAGACGTTGAGGACCTGGCCTGCACTGGCTGGGGCACGGGACAGAGGGGACCGGCAAGCTGACATCACGAAAGGGCTGATGGTACAGGCTCTGCCTCTAAACTGATGTGTTGGAATCCGTTCTGCCACGTGGGCCTCCTCATGGAGAGGTCTCCATTTCTCAGTTTGTTATTTGTAGAACGACAGTAGTAAGAATACCTAACGTCACAGGGCTCTGTAAGGTTTATAGATGTAATATGCTTAAAGTGCTCAGAGAAGTATGTGGAACCTACTCTATGCTTGAGAGATGTTCCTTATCACTGAATGTGGAGGTTGTGGAAAGGAGAAGAGACCCACGTTTCTGCCCTGGATGACTGGAGGCACGGTTGGCCGTCCACGAGGAAGGTGGTTAGAGATGAAAGTGCCCGGGACCATGGGCTTTCACAGCTCTGTGCCGCGTGAGAGTGACAGGGGGGTATTGGTGTGGGCAGGACAGTGCGGCCTAGAGGTGCTGGGGAAGTGGAGGACGTGCCGTCAGTGCCTGGCTGAGGACAGTGTGAGGGGGGACACCTCACATTATAGGGCAGGGGGTGAAACGGGAGCCCGGAGGGAGACTTGGGTGGAGCGGTGGGCAGGAGAGACAGGGCCCGGGAGGTGAGGATCTTGTGACAGAGTGGTCACTGGTCACACGGCCAGATAACCACAGTAACTGGCTTTAGACTGTCTTTCTTGACTTTGGCAAGAGCTCTTGACGTGAATGAGGATCAGATGGGAGGTGAGGAAGTGGGGACGACAAGACTGGGGGAACACGGGCTGTTGAGTTACCAGAGGAATGCGGGGAGAAGATGGTAGCAGTTAGGAACATGAGGAACGTAGAGAAACTTTTTCTAAAATGAGAGGCTTGACTCTTTGTTAGAGGAAGAAGCTGGTGGGCAAAGAGTATTGGAACTTACAGGGCGGTTAATGCTGAGTATTCCAATGGTTTCACAAACCTCTTGAACATTGAATGGTGGTTTAGATCGTGGGATGGATGTAGAGGGAAAGGGCATTCGAGGCAGGAGTGACCAGCAAGGAGTTTCCCATTTCTTTATTCAGCAGACAGTGGTGAAAGATCCTGTATTAGGCACATCAAAGGGTGTGGGGATACAGACACGGCCTTCTGGATTCTGAATCATGGTTTCTCAGAATGTGGTCAGATCCACGTCCCATTGTTCCCCCTGTCTGCGTATCTCAATCACCTGGATGCTTGGTGAAAATGCAGATTCCCAGTGTCACAGAGTTGTTCCAGCTGGGGGGGAGCCAGAGAGGCTGCTCTTTTCATTGGTTCCTGGGAGAGTCCCGCGCAATCCCAGAGCAGTTGAGAGAAATGGTTCTTCTGGTGCAGAGGTTCCTAACTCCAGGAAGTTGTGATGGATTGAATGGGAGAGAGTCTGTGTTCTTAGTAATATCCTAGAGGAGTTTAATGGTGGGCATCCGACACCAAGCCTGAAACTTCAAGGCCTTCTTTTTCTTGTTTTCACAGCCCACAGAAGAAGAAGCATCTTCAAAGGAGGATTCTACCCCTTCCAAGCCAGTGGTGGGTATTATTTACCCTCCTCCGGAGGTCAGGAACATCGTTGACAAGACTGCCAGCTTCGTGGCCAGGTAACGTAGCTGCTCCTGCTCATGTTGGTCACAGGTGGGTTTTAGCACAAGAACTGAATTCTCACAAGGGTAACCCCCGGGTCTTTAGAGTGGCATTGTCCGCTTAGGCCTGTCAGCTCATTGGAGACCACAGTGTGGTGTGAGGTCGGCTGTGGGCAGGACTGGCATCTCTCACACAGTCTCGGTGGTGGCAGAGGACAGGCCCACCCAGCTCCAGCGTGACCGAGAACCTCTGCCTCCTAACCAGGCCTGAGGAAATGCCTGGAGGCTGTTTTGTCAGAGATGTGTGTCTGTGTCTGAGCTGCTGGCCGGAGGAAGACAGAACAGGGAGTGGATCAGTCTCATGAAGCAAGGACTGCGTTCCCGACCCAACTGCAGAGTGGAATAACGTGTCCCCTGCAGAGTTACTGTGAGGCCGGAGGGAGGGGACTGGGTGCAGTTCAGGTGCATCGTGCAGCTGTCGGCCCAGATGGCATGGACGTCAGCTGGATTTCCTCTTGTCCCTCCCCGTTATGCTTGAGCACACCCACGCTTCCTCAGGTGGAGTCTCCTTGATGGCCACTTGACTCCAAAGGTCAACCATCCCTGGTTTAGGGCATTTTGAGTATCCCTTTGGCAGCCAGCAGGCCACATTCAGCTTTCAGATCTTTTGTTTGTTATCAACAATTTCCCTAACTTTTGAATTGGTTGTCACTGTTTAGAAATGAGATTGCACCGTAAGTCTGGATTTTTGGCTTCTCTTGATGAATTGGACAGTTCCTTGCATGGAAACGGTAGCTGGCCTCGAGCAGACTGCTGCCCTCAGTCAGGGCCGGCGCTCTCCAGCGAGCCACACCTTGACCCCAAGACAGCGTCCCCACCCAGGAGTGGGCTAGCTTTGGTTCAAGGCAGAAGCATCATTGAGTAGATGGGTCCTTCCTTTCTCAGTCTCCTTATGAAATGAAACATAGAAAGAGGTTCCTCTGCTTGATGTCTTTCACTGTGTCAGGCTCCATATAGATCAACTGTCCACGTTT